ATGGCAGGCAGAATGTCAGTGTATATACAGTGCATATATGCATATATACAGTGCATATATGCACCTGCATGATGGCCACGTACTGCTGGTGCCGTCTAGTCCCCCTTTTCCTGCTTCCTGCTGCTTGCCTGCGAATGAAAGGTGCGCCATTATAGAGGAAGAAAGACAGATTCTTGTTATGAATGCTAAATCATTGGCCTTTACCTTACACTGTCGTCATCCCTATGGCAGTCCGGAGACGTGTAACTCGTCAGGCTCGGTAGCTACGGGGCAGTTGTCTGGACAGGTTACTCGCCAGCTAGAAGCTTGATAAATGTGCGACCTTGAAAGTGTCATAATTAGGCACAGATATGCGCGCTGAGTGTGTGAAATGTTATGACGAGGTTAGTTAACATGTTTGCCATCAAATATGAGTGTAGGGAGGCATTATTTGTCCTTACAATTTGCTCTCTACCTACGGCCATTTGGCAGTCCAGATGAAAGGGAACCAGGCCGCTCCTAACAACTGGGAAGCGTAAGCTGACTTTACTGGCCGATATACTTGCGTAAGCACAGAAAATCGGGCTTTTCAATTTCAACTTAGACTTACAATGTTCATAAAATGGTCCGCTTAAATAGTCATATTAGCACGCCATAACCTCACACGTAGAACCACACGATCAAGCTCCACTAGCTCCGAAGTTACGACATGGTCTCAAAAGCGCGCGCTAACGAACTGTAAAATATTACACACTCCCCTCCTTAAAAACAAGCACCGTCCTCGGTGCGAAAACGTCACTAAGCGGCCATAGTCGTGTGCCTCTCCGATTCCCTGAACAAAATCGGTACCAGGCTAACGAGGGGAAGGCAAAAGGGAACCGGAGTCAAGGCAAAACCTTCCCTGCACTGGATACCGGCCTAAAATGTGGCGCACGACTCCTACCATATCCGGCTTAAGAATCCGGAGACACACACAAGCTGCTACAAAAATGACTAGAATCCGACTACACGGAACCCAAATACCCAGACGCGAACAAACTCGTGAAATGCAATACCAAACTGACGTTGAACTGACTGGTGTAACTACTGGCTAGAACAGAACGAAGGCGCACAGACATACCGAATACACATGATGACACACACACACACATCCAGCCGCAGCTCTATTCTGTTAAGAACTGTACGATCCTTGGGGCATGCTCCGGGAACTTGGCTCTGAACCACGCATAGCAATCTGATAGCCTGAACGCAGTCCAGCTTGGGCTCCTCAGGAAGGCACGAAGTGCTGGCAGGTTGTGCACGTCATCGTATGGTTCCCATGAGGGGTCGTGTTTACTACTTGCGGACCACTGCATGAGGAACATGACGGACGGGCGTGCACGCTTGTTATACCCTAGGCGAACAGCTGTAACAACGGTATCTGCACTGTCATATGGGGATTCTAGTGCAGTAGGGGCTGCAGGTGGAGGTGGTGGGCGGCCGGGGAAGAGTGCTGGGTCGTTGTCCATCCATGGGAGAAGGCGGCTGATGTGGAATACTGGATGCAAGCGGCCGAGGGAGGCTGGAAGGTGAAGGCGGTATGCAACTGGAGAAATGACGGAGGAGATGAGGAAAGGGCCGAGGTAGCGAGGGCGGACTTTTGGGGAGGGGTAGGTCGGCAGGGTGAGGTGTTCTGTGGACAGTCGGACGCGATCGCCAACTTTGAAGGTGATGGCGCGGTGATGCAGGTTAGCTGCGGCAGTGTAGCGGGTTTTGGCGGCTTGGATTTCGCGGTTGATGGTGGCATGGATGTCGCTCATACGCTGCTGTAGTTCTGTAGCCTGCGGGTGAGAGGAAGGTGAAGCGGCGTGGAGGGAGATGGGAGTGCGCGGATGGTAGCCATGATTGGCGTAGAATGGTGTCATGCCGGTGCTTGCGTTAGTGGCGTTGTTGTATGCTGCTTCGGTGATCGGAAGGTATGATGCCCAGTTGTCCTGCATAGGTTGGATGTAAGCGCGGAGGATCTGGCGATGTGTTCTCTCGGTTTGACCGTCAGTTTGTGGATGGTAGGCGGAGGAGATGTTAAGGGACGTGCCAAGGTGCTCCCAGAAGGTGCACCAGACGTCGGACATGAAGCGGGAATCTCGGTTGGAGACGAGGGTTGTTGGAAGACCGTGTAGACGGTAGACGTGGGTGAGGAAGAGTAGGGTGGTGTCGTGGGCGGTGGTGGTTTTGTTAGTGAGGGCGAAGTGGGCTTGCTTGGTGAACATATCGATGGTGGTGAGGATTGCGGTGTAGGTGCGGCCATCTAAACCTTTAGAGGGCGGCAGGTCGGTGATGAAGTCCAGAGACACGTGTGTCCAGGGTTGTGTGGGAGTGGGTAGCGGGTGGAGGAGGCCAGGAGGAGGCTGGGTGGATGGCTTGGTGCGTTGACAGATGGGGCAGGACTTGATGTAGGCTTTGACGGTGCGGGCCATGTAAGGCCACCAGTAGCGGGTTGATATCGTGGCGAGGGTGCGACGAAAACCAGGATGACCAGAGTAAGCAGCATCGTGGAATTCGTGAAGTAGGTGGCGGTGTAAGGATGGGACGTTAGGGATGGTGATGCGGTTAGCGAAGTAGAAGAACCTGTCTGGGGAACATTGTAGGTAAGGCTTGGTGGTTGTTGAATTGGAGTACATGGGGTCGGTGGTGTATCCGAAACGGATGTCATCTGCGAGGCTGGGGTCTGGCACAACATGGGCTGCGATGGTGAAACAGGCATGATGAAGGGCATGGTTGGCTGCGACATCGACAGGTGGTGAAGTGGAGGGCCAAAGCGGGGGAGGTGATGGAGATGTAATGGAGGTTAGGTTTTCTGCTGATGTAGCGGAAAGTGAGGGACTGGGGTCAGAGGGCTCTGGGTTGGGGGCTGGGCTGCACTGTTGGGGTCAGCTGACCGGGAAGCGGGAGAGGGTGTCGGCCGTGTTTTGAGGGCCGGGGCGGTAAGTGATTGTGATGTAGCCTTGAAATGGGGCGAGGAGCTGAGCCCAACGGGCTTGACGACGAGAAGCGAAACACAGGGGCGAGGCGTGTGGCTCTACGTCCGTCTGTTCCGCCGTGCTCGCCTCACCCCCTCACTCACGCCAACCGGGGCACTGTCCCAGCC